GTGGGGCAGGGCTGCGCTCCCGCAGTCCCGGCCACGAAGGGACCGGAGAAGGTGCCGGAGCCAGAGCCGGGCGCGGATGGCTGCGGGCTCTGGACAGGGCCGCCCCACCATCGCGCCGATGGGCTCCTCCTGACACCCCAGAGCCGGGGGCACGGGCGGAAAATCTATTACCCCCTGCCATTTTGTTAAGTGTTTGCTCCCCTTTGTGACCCTGCCACTTTATCTGTTAATTTTTATTTTCTGAGTGCATGTTGCCCATATGTTACTCTAATAGTTGCTATAATTCTTGAGCAATAGGGCTCATATTTTATTGAGCTGAATTAAAAAGAATGCACTTTAATAAAAAACCCGAGCAATACACTAATGGCTTGACATTGATGTATTTGCATAAAGATGAATTATATGGGCTCGCTTGACACGACTTTTAATAAATGATCGAGGACGTTATTACAGGGATGCACTTGTGTGTGCGGAAGCGGGTTATTGCCGCGGGGCCGGTGCCAGGGGCTCCCCGCAGCCCGCCGGCTCCGGAGGGCAGCGCGGGCACCGCCCGGCCCCGCCGAGCACCTCCGCAAGCCCCGGGCCTCCGGGCAAGGCTTGAAGCCCCGGGGGATGCGGAGAGGCGCGGTGCTGCCTGCTCGTGCCCTGCTATCAATAACTTTATTCTTATCAACCACGCTCGCTGGGGCGCGGAGCCGCTACCGGGAGCGAGGCGGGTGCGGTGCGGGCTCGATGCGGGTGCAGTGAGGGGTGCCCGCTGCTCCCGCCGCAGTGCCGCCTCCTCCTCCCCGGCAGATGTTTGCATCCCTCACGGAGACTTGAAAGCGCTGTTGGAGACAGCTGGCAAACGCCGCCAGAAACGCGTATCTCGGAAATACCTATCGGTGCAGAAGGTAAAGGCGGAGCTGCAATTAGGAGGGAGCAGTTCATCTTACTTTTGAATTTGCGGCTAGCTCTGAGCGCTGGGTCCCGCAGCAAGCGCCTCTCCCCGCGGCCGCGAGACGGGAAGGGTCTCGGAGTGTCCGGCCCGGGGGCGAAAGCCCATCACTCTCATTTTAACCCCCGGGTTCTCTGGCCTGAGGGACGACTCATGTCCCGAGGGAATGGGTGCCTAAAGCAAAGCCTCGGGGAGGCTGTCAGGGGTACAAAGAAAGTCTTGCATGAAATAACATCACGGCAGCGAACGGAGGGAGAGCGGAGGGAAGACGGCGTGCGTGTTATATGGGAAGCGTTAAAAATTAACAGCACTGAGAAGTGATGAGCGTATGATAACGGGGTTTCAGGAGCTCATCACAGGAGACCACACGTGAGGGAAGGGGCGGGAGAAGCCATCGCTCCCTGAAATGGTCGCGCTGTGCCCGCGTGGCTGTGGATTTGGGCATCCCCCTGGCAGGGTGTACGCGTTGTCTTGCCTGCTGCCTGCGCGGGGGGCTCTGGGTGGGAGTTGCTGTCGGAACGAGAGAGCCCGAAGGCCTCGGGGCTGTGACAGCGCTGGTGAAGGGCCTTGTCAGGGACCAGGTGACAGCGGCCAGCGGTCTGGGCTTCCCCGCAGCGCACACGCCCCGAGTAGAGCGACCCCTTCGTTACCCCGCGGGCGGAGAACTCTTCTTTTTCTCCCTCCCAGCGTTCGCTCCCGCCTGCCCGCCGCCCGTGGACTTCCCCTTGTAACCCGCGTCCCCCCCGTGGCACTGCGGTGCGGATCTTGCCCGCGTCCATATGTCCACATCCATATGCATGCGTCCCGCAGGCAGTAGCTGCCGGTCGGGAGTGGGGTGCGGGCGGTGGTGTGGCCCCCGACCCCTCTTTTTGCTTCCCGTACCTCCCCTGCCTCCCTCCCTCCATCCCTCCCCGCAGTCTCTCGGTGCCCATGGCTACTGCAGGGCGCGGAGTGGGTCTGGCGCCTGGGGCGCTTCTACGGGGAAGAAAAAGTTTTTCCTCTGTCCGTGGCGATGCTCGCTTGAGCTGGAGACGGATCGCAGGCGGGTTCCTTTTGCGAAGTACCTCGACAAAGCAGGGGCGTTGGAAAAGTAGGGAGGATGCTTTGGGCACTCTGGGATCGAACAGTCAGTCGGGAACTTCTCCCGCGATGTCTTCTTCAACCCAGAGAAGGGACCGAGACAGGGTAAACCCAGCTGCCTCTATTTCCTCTGAGCCGGGAAATCCCAGAAACAGCTGTTCATATTTCCACTACGCCTGGAAGTCCCGCACACGGAAAGGAGCGGGGTTTAAAACCGAGGGCTCTGTGACGGAAGGAAAGCAAAGCCAAAAGCTGTGTCCGAAGGGAGCTGTGGGGAGCGGCCTGCGGTGGCCTCTCGCTGCTTAGGCAGGGGCCCGCCCGGCCAGCTCCGCGGCCGCGCAGCCGGCGCCCGCCGCTCCCCACGCGTGTGCGCAGCTGCTAACTCCCCGCGGGGGTTTCGGCCCGGGCCCAAGCGAGGGGCGGCTGCCGGGGAGCGGCTCTGCCAGCCCCATTCCCTACGGACGTGGTTCTGCAGTGCTATTTAAATGTCGTTTTCCAGGAGTTTATGCAGCTCCGACACTAATTCCTGCCTGCATGAAGGACTGAGCCGAAACTGCTGCTGATCTCGGCCAGGCCCCCGCGCACGGGGGAACCTCGCGCCCCGTGAAGCCAGCTGACATTTGTCTTTTAATTGTTCACCGTGCTGTCCGTGGCAGCGATCCAGAGGTTAGCTATTGAATCTCTTCCTAAAAAGTCCTTTCCTGGAGGAGAAGGAGCCCAGCCGGCTTTGGCTTCCAAAACATGTCCCGAAAAGGGGGGCTGTGAGCTCGTGTGAATCCCCTGCTCTTTCTTCCAGCGCCCCGGACAAAACCAGCCTAACCAAGCGGACAGCGTTTGGGCTCTTTTCCCTGCGATTCCACTTTGACGGTGCCAACTGCAACTGGTGGCCAGCTGGGTCTCTGTGCAGAAGTAAATTAACTGGAAAGCCTCCGTCGGTGCTGTGATGAACTGGAAAAGGGGCCGGGGACCGCCGGAGCACTCGCAGCAGCCCGGGGGCACTCGGGAGAGCTCGGGCAAGGGCCGGGGCCGGGCTGCTGGGGAGCGGGGCCGGCGGCGTGGCTGCCGGGGAAAGGGGCTGAGGGTGTGTGGGCGGAGAACAGCAGCCGGGCCGGTGAACACCAGCGGGTTCCCACCCCGGCGATCCGGACCCCGCGGTATTTTGATTTCCCTCCCGCCGCCCCGCAAAACCCGCGGGAGTATTGTAACGGTGTGAGCCGGCAGGGCCGAGTCGGATCTCTTGGAAACGACCGGCCTTTCCCTTCCTGCCTTTACAACTAGTCGGGAAAGATGGGGATGGGGGTGGGAGTGTCGGTGGACGATGGTCAGCCCCCGTACCCCGGCCAGGGAGAGCCGGGGCAGCCGCGCCGAGGCAGCCGCAGAGCGCCGGGCTCGTTTCCTCCTCCCGGCCCCGGTATTGTGTGAGCCGAAAGAGGAGTAAAACCCCGCTCTACCTTTTTTCTTTTATTTTTTCTTTTTTTTTTCTCTTTAGAAAATTATTCACAAATAGAATAATTTGGGTTTTTTTTTTTTTTTTTCTCCAGAATAGCTGGCCCTTTTTCTCTCTCATATCAGTGATTCTGTTTGCTATGCTGATCCTTGGGAAGAAAAGGGAAAAAAAAAAAAAGAAACCGATTGTTTCTGGACTGTTTAGATATGGAAATGATCACGTCAGATAATGAGTTTCAATTTAAACCAGTTGTTCTGGTATTGGGTCTATTTGTTCTAGACGCTTAGCCGGGCTCTTATTTTATCCACTGTTTTCTTCTTGGATAGCGGTTTGTTTCCCATAATAATGGTAACACTCTGCCGTTAATAAAGTCCTTCGTCACTCGCCTCTGAGAAAGTTTAGGCTGAGCCGAACCTCTCCCGTGGTCGGGTGGAAACTACCTGCCTGCTCACGTCCCCAAACAACCAGCGGCTTATTTTATTTGTATCCTTCTTGAACTCCCACAACAAAATGGTCAACTTCCAATCTTAAAAAAAAAAAAAAAAAAAAAAAAAAAAAAGCGCGGAAACAAAACAACAAAAGTCCGAAAGTCTTCAAACAAACCAAACAACAAAAATCCTACTACTATGTATCGACAAAAGACCATGAAAATTATATCTTTTTTTTTTCCTCCCCCTATACCGTGCTTTCATTATTTAATCTCTGATAAAAAGAGATTATCTGTACCCTTTAGAGAAGGCAGCAAACGTCTTTAAACTGGTTTAATTGATTTATCATTTTGTTGGTTTGTTGTTTTTTTTTAACAGAAAGTGCATTACATTTAACTGGTCTTGCAAAGGGCTTTTCTTCTCTTTACAAACCGAATTATTTTTAATATAAATTAATAAATGTTAAGATGCTATATCACGATATATCATCGTTATTAGCTTTTAAAAAAAGAGAAAAAACAATTTACATTCTCTAGTATTCCGTATGATACAAAAGAAAACACACTTTAAATTCAAATACAGCAACTAAATGAATTTTATACTTTGACTGACAGTGGTTGTGACAATTCCCACCAGCTACTTTTTCAACGCGCGGTTGATTGGAAACGGTGTAAATGAAAGCAAACTCTGTCCCTCCGCCCTTCCCCCCCTCCCCTCCCGTCCCTTGCACGACGACCGCAACAGAAAGTGTTTCAAAAATACTAATAAATAGCACGCGGGGCCGCTGCAGTTTCGGCCCGAGGGAGGAACCGGTGGCGGCCACGGCGGCTTTTTCCTCGGCGGCCCCGCTGCCGCCGTCTCGGGGGCTCCTGCGGTGCCCCCGGTGCTGCCGGAGAGCGCGGGGCGGGTGGGACGGCTGCGTCCCCGGCCCCCGCTGTACGAGGAAAAAAAAAAAAAAAAGAATGTATATTACATTTTAAATATTCACAGTAAGGAACGTCTATTGTCGCGGTGACTCACGGTTTATTTACAAAGAGCCGGCAAAGACTCGGCCGCCGCACAGCCGGGAGCGAGGCCGGGGGTCGGGCCAGCCCCCGCCGCTCCCCTCCGCCCGCCACCCTACAACGACAGCGGGGCCGGAGACCGGGCGCGCCCGCCGGGGCCCACTGCCCGCAGTCCTCTCTGCTCCCCCTCCGGCGTCTCCTCCTCCTCCCGGGCGCGTAGAGTCTAGAAAAATAGATCTGTACATCTCCGAAAGCGGCGGCGGGCGAAGCAGGCTAGACGGAGGCCTCCCCCTCCGGGGCATGTAGCAGCAGCCCGCCGCCCCCCGGCTTGTGTTTCTTCAGGAGCTGCGTTATCTTCTCATCGTCCGAATTGGGATCCAGGGGTTTGTTGTAGTCATCGTCCTCCTCCTCGTTCTCCGAGGCGCCTTTCAGCCGCTCCGTCTCCGAGTCCTGCTTCTTCTTTGCCGTCGCCATCTCGGCTGCGTGCTTCTTCCGCCACTTGGTCCGCCGGTTCTGGAACCAGACCTGCCCCCGCCGCCACCGTCACCATCACCGGCACGGCCACCTGCGGCGGCTGGACCGGGCCGCTCCCACCCTGCTCACCGCCAGTCCCCATCCCCGGCGTGCGGCACAGATTTCCGCTTCGCCGCCCTTTAGGCAATTTCCCCAAACGAATGCGGCTGATCCCCGCGGCACCGCGCTCCCGGCAGCAGCCGACACCCGGCCCGGCGCGGGGCCCACCCAGCGTGGGCCAGCAGCCGTCCCCAGCTCCCCCGAGGCTCGCATCGGGCCCGGGCCGCTCCCTGCCATCCTGCCTGGGGCGGGGAAACGCACATTTGGGGCTGATTCCTTTCCCAGCCCCCCTACCCCGCCAGTATTTACTCTCCGGCAGGGCGCTGCCACAGGAGGGGGGCATTTTCATTGTAGAAGCTGCAATAATTTATTCGCAGCCATCGGGACGTATTTGCCCGTGACAAAGGAGGCTCTGCAGATCAGACTGAAAGCGTGAGCACCACCGAGGGGCCCCTCTGGCCCAGTCCGCCAAGCAAACGCCTCTGCATGTTCTCGGGGAGCTCAACCCGCTCTCCCAACCCCTCACACCTCCGCTTTGCCCAAAGCACGGAGTTTTTAACCAGAATGTAAGAGTGTGGGTGCGGCAGTGCGATACCCTAACACCACCCTTTCCCCGGCTTTCCCAGGACGCTGGCCACCCCCATGGTGTTCAGGGCTTCTCAGTCTTGCTTGGGTTTGTTTGGTTCAATTTGATTTGATTTTAAAATGCTTTAAAACAACCTTCTCGACCCCGCAGTAAGGCGATAAGGGGAGAAATGCCGGTAGTTGCGGGGAAAGCCCTCGCCGTGTGCCCGCGGGCTCGGCCACGCTAGCCCACAGCATCTCCGGCTGGTTCAGACGGACCCCGTTTCCGCAGTGGGGCCCTTTTGTTCCCCGCTCCTCCAGCCCCACACCACTCGGTGCGTGAGCCCTTGCTCTCACCTTTACTTGGCTCTCCGTCATCCCCAGGGAATAGGCCAGTCGGGCTCGCTCCGGGCCCGCCAGGTATTTCGTCTGTTCAAAAGTCTTTTCCAGAGCGAAAATCTGCTGGCCAGAAAAAGTGGGTCTCGTATGTTTTCTCTTTCCGTCCTTATCCAGCAAAATTGAGCCTTGATCTGGCGAAGGGAGGGGGGAGAGAAAGGGAAGGCAGGGACAGACAAGTTAATCTACGGATTTGGGAAAGCGCTTCACTCTCAAGCGGCCCCAGGGGACGGAGGGGTCTCTACGCGGGGGGTGCGTGTGTAAGAAAACCGCCTAAGCCAGGCAACCACTCTGGCCTTTCGGGGCTCTCCCTGATTACTTTTCCTTTAAGGATCAAAAATCTGAGCGGGCAAATTATATTTTTTCAAAAAAAGCCGCGGCCGGTGCGAGCGGGTGGTAGCAGAAAGTCCTGTTCGAGCAAAGTTTGTGCGCGCCCCTAAAGCCAACCCCGGCCCGCAGAGTCCCCAGCACCGATGGCAGCAGCGCGGCCAATTTCCCCTCGGAGGGCTCCGCTTTTCGCCGGCGATAATCGGCGACATATTACAGAGTTTTGCGCTGACCGACGGGACGGAGAATGCAAAACGAACTTAAGAAACGAAAACATATCGAGGCAAAGCCAGCCCCCTCGGCTACGGCCGGGCCCTGGGTGGAGGGGCAGGAGGGTCTCACAGCGATGCCGGGGCGCGGGGACTCCCTAGCACCGGGAGCGGACTCCCACCGGGGCTCCCCGCGCCCTCCCCGCCCCGCTGCCCCGCGACGCTGGGTACTCACGGGGGGCGCAGGCGAGGCGGGCGTCCCTCCACGGCGGGCTCTGCATCACCCCCGGCCAGAAGATCGGCGTCCGGCCGGGCAGCTCGGCCAGCGGCTTGGGGTAGCGCCCGGCGGCCACGGCGGCGGCGGCGGCGGCGGCCCCAGGGCTGAAGTAGAGGGCGGGCGGCGGCGGCGGCGGGGGGCTGAGGCTGCCGAAGCGGGGCAGCCCGGCCAGCAGCCCGGCGGGCGCCGCCGAGGAAGCGGAGGGCGAGGCGGAGGCGAGCGCGGCGCCCGGCAGGGGCATGGAGGGCCGGCTGAGGATGTCGTTGATGCCGTGCGGGGTGGCGGCCGAGAGCTGCGGCGGGGCCGTGCCCAGAGCCGAGAGCCCGCCCGCGGCGGCGGCGGCGGCGGCGGCGGGCGCCTTGAGGCCGGGGGAGCCGAGCGGCGGCGAGGGCGAGGCGGAGGCGGGCGAGGCGGAGGCGGAGGAGGAGGAGGCGGGCCCGGCGGGCAGGGGGTACGCGGGGTACAGCGGCGCCTTCATCTCGGCCATGCTGTGCAGGGCGGCCAGCGGCGGGCTGCCCAGCAGGAAGGCGCCCTGCCGGGGCGCGCCGTCCATCTGCCCCAGCGCCAGCATCCCCGTGCCGCCGCCACCGGCCCGGGGCGGGGGGCCCGGACGGCCCCTAGCGCCGCGGGGCCCCGGCGGTCGGCCCGGGGGTGCCGCCCGCACCGGCTACGCGCATCCAGCCCGCGGGGGTGGCCGCCTCTAGAGGGGAGCTACACGCCCGAGCGGCGGCCCCGCCGTCCCGCCGGGCATCGGGGCTGCGCCTCGGCGGACGCTCCCGGGGCGGAAGGCGGCGGTGCTGTCGGACGGCGGCTGTATGCGTGTGTCTGCGCAGCGGCCGTGCGCCTACACGGATATACCGCCGCTCCCGCTGGCCGCCGGCGGCAGGGGGCTCACAGCGGCGCGGGGGCCGTGTTCGCCGTCCCTTCGTTCGCCTCCTTCCCGGCGCCCCGCATCCCTCCCGGCGCGGTGCCTGCCGGCTGCTGTCGGGGCTGGGGCGCAGCTCGGGGCGCACTGCCGCGCCGCCCCGCTCCCTGCCTCCTTTAGCGGGGGCACGGCCGGCAGCGGGCGCGGCGGCGGCGGCGGCGGAGGGGCGGGGGCGGGGCGGCAGCCGGCCCTGCCCACCCGCGCCGCGCCCGCCCTGCCGCCAACTTCGGGCTCGCCTGGCTCCTCTCTCCTCTCTTCTCCCGGATTTTCTTTTATTTCCCCCTTTTCTCCTTTCCCCCTCTCCTTTTTCCTCCCTTTTACTTTCTATTTTTTCTTTCCCCTCTTTCCTCTTCTGTATCTTTTCCCTTTTCCTCCTTTTTACTTTCCATTTTTTTTCTTTCCCCTCTTTCCTCTTCTGTATCTTTTCCCTTTTCCTCTCCTTTTCCTCACTTTCCCTTTCCCCTTCCTTTTACTTTTACCTTTTGTTTACCTGTTTTCCTCTCCTCTTTCTTCTCCGTCTTTTTCTCCCTTTTGCTTTCTCTTTTTTCCTCTCAGTTTTTATCTTCTTTTTTCGTTTTCTTTCTTGCTTTCCTTTTTTCTTTGTTTTTTTCCTTTCTTTTATACGTTTTATTTTTTTAATTGTAATTTATTTTCCTTTCCTTTCCTTTCCTTTCCTTTCCTTTCCTTTCCTTTCCTTTCCTTTCCTTTCCTTTCCTTTCCTTTCCTTTCCTTTCCTTTCCTTTCCNCCTTTCCTTTCCTTTCCTTTCCTTTCCTTTCCTTTCCTTTCCTTTCCTTTCCTTTCCTTTCCTTTCCTTTCCTTTCCTTTCCTTTCCTTTCCCTCGTTCTCCTTTTCTCCTTCTCGTTCTCCCTTTCTCCCTTTCTTTCTCCTTCTCGTTCTCCCTTTCTTTCTCCTTCTCGTTCTCCCTCTCGTTCTCCCTTTCTTTCTCCTTCTCGTTCTCCTTCTCGTTATCCCTTTCTTCCTCCTTCTCGTTCTTCCTTTCTCCCTTCATTTTCCCACTCTTTCTCTCTTCATTTCTCCTTCTCGTTCTCCGTTCATTTTTCTTTCTCGTTCTCCCGCTCTTTCTCCCTTTCTTTTTCCCTTCTCTTTCTCCTTTTCTCCCTTCTCATTCTCCTTTTCTCCCTCTCTTTCTCCCTCCCCCTCTCTCTCTCCTTCAGTCTTGTGCCTCGGGAGCGACTACAGAGAGCAGAACCACCCGAGTCCCGGTCGCGTCAGGCCTGCCCTGAGGTTTCCTTGGGATATGGGTGGTGTGAACTGACTCGGCCCTTCCCGCACTCGGCCTCTGGACCGTGTGGATGCACTCTGTTCCTTCTGGAACCGGGTGTTGGTGCCGCCGGGCCCGGCCCTCCAGCCCGAGCACTGCCCGGTGCTGTACACCCGAGGCCCTCGGTAACAGCGAGCCCTCTGGACACTTGTGCCCAGCGCCCCGGCTGCTCACAGCAATTCCCGTAGCCTAAGGCTGCGAGAGAGGAAAAAAAAAATAATCTTATTTGTCCCCTAAAGAGCATTCCACGGAAGAGTGATGCAAAGTCACTCTGAACAATTTTTACCCTGTGCTGTCTGTGCCCGTGTGTTGTACCTGTGGGGAACTCTATTTTCCTCGAGCGTGGAAAAACGGGATGATGTGAAAATTAATTTTATTTTAATTACGAATCTTAGCTAAAGCGGAGGCACATTGGTCCCATACTTGGAACGATGGCTCCTTCTATTTCCAAATAATCCCTTGTTGCTCTGAATTGGTTTAGTTTAAATTATAAATCTGCGGAACACACTTGGAGAAAGGGCGCATAGGATCTTTCCTCGCCTTAACTTCGGCACAGCCACATGAAGGGCACCTCCGAGAAGCTCGAGTTAAATCTCCGAGTCTGATTATTTTTTTTTTCCCTCTTGTCACTTCGCAAAGATTCTAAAAGAAAAACCAAAAAAAGTGCGTTCCTGCTGGTTGCAGAGGAGCCAGCGAGCGCTCGGCCGCGGCAGCCCCGCATGGCTGGCCCCGCAGCCCCGGCCGCGCCCAGGCTCAGCTCCGCTAGCCGCCGTGGAGAGTGGGGAGCCGCCTCTCAAAGAGACCGATTTGCATTTGAATTAGCGGGGAGAGAAATGCTAAACCGCTTTTGTAAGTGCCGAGGCAGGCGCGGAGCGGCCCCGCTGTGTGTCCAGCACCCAAGGGAGCCTCTTTTCCTCCCTCCCGTGGCGGAGGCGGTGCGCAGGCAGGGGCTCTCCCCCGGCCCAGATTCGCTGCCTCCCTTCTCGCAGCGCCCCGAGGGAACTCTGCCAGGGCCGGGCAGCGGCAGCGGCGGCAACTTCGGCCGCAGGTCCGCGCTGGCGCGGGGGGAAGCGGGTCCTGCCGGGCCGGGCCGAGCCGCGGTACCGCCCGCGCTGTGCGGGCCGCGGGTGCTGCCAGCCCCGCGCTCGGCCCCGCGGTACCGGCCCTTTCCCCTCGCTCCGTTCCTCCTCCCCGGCCCGGCCGGGAGTCCGCCGCCCGGCACCTCTCGGCTTGTTTTCTAGAGTAAGCAAAGCAGAACAATCCCTCCAGCACAAGGGCTTTTCCTCCTTTTCTACTGTAAGAAACTGATGGCACATTGAAAAAACGAGTGTTTATTTTGGGGGGGTCTCCCCGTGCAACCTCTTCCCTAAAGATAGCATCGTAGGAGGGATGGCGTCCATAGGGCTGCCCCTGCATGAGAAATGGATTCAAAAGCAGACGTCAGAATTATCTCTTCTCTGTCTTTAACAACCGAAACATTCGAAAATATTAATATTTGTTCTTTTTCCACACTCAGCTTCTGTTTTCCCTAAACTAGGGTACTCAGTCCCTAAGCTAAAGTAATGAGGCAAAATAACTCAGGGGGCAGCGCCCTTCAGCAGCTGAGCAGCGGGTAAGTGACACCGTGAGCACCCCTAGCAGCGGTGGGAGTGAAACCCACCCCAGCAACAAACTTCACTAATAGGGTGAGCAAGCCGCAGCCTGGAAACTCCGCAGCCGAAGTATTCCTTGAGCAGATGGAGTTCCTGACCGGACCCGCTGCAGCCGGGGCTGCTCACCAGTACTTCGCCAGTTTCACGGGGTCTCATCGTAAGCGCTTCGCCGCTTCAGATAGAGCAGCAACTTAGTCCAGTAGTGAACGAGAGAACAGCCGCCAGGGCAAGTGCGGGCGGAGGGAGGAGCGAGCGGCCGGCCCGCGGCCGGGGCAGCGGAGAGAGCAGGGGCAAGCGGCAAGCCGGAGGATGCAAAGCCGCGAGAGGAGGGCAGCTCCCTCACAATCCCCGCGGGGCCTCGGGGAAGTAGCCCGCAGAGCCCCGGGGACGGCAGGGTACAGGGACAGTGGGGTCCCGGGCTGCGAGGGGCGGGGGCTGGGGGCAGGGAGGGGCTGAGGTGGGACGGGGAGGCCGGCCTCCACGGGAGGAAGTAAAGAAGACGTGTGAATGAATTCACAGGTACACAGAAGAAGCGTTGTCACGAAAAAAAGAAAAAAAAAAAAAAAAAAAAAAAAAAAAAAAAAAAAAAAAAAAAAAAAAAAAAAAAAAAAAAAAAAAAAAAAAAAAAAATTGCTCTTTCGAGGCGTAGGAAGTACGAGTCCTGGAGCAACTATGCCTCCAAAATTCACTTCGGCCGGTATGGTACTAACATATCTGAAAGGGGAAAAAAAACCAAACAAAAACCAACCAAATCATACGGATACCTAAAATTACAAGGTCGAACGTGCTTTGGCATTGCAGGATAAGATGTTCTTCAGGCTGACGAGACAGAACCCGCACTGCAGCATCGTGCCGCCCTCGGGGTCCAGCTGCGCGCAGGGCGCTGCCCTCGAGGGAAGGGCTGGCTCTGCCCCACGGAGCTCTTCCAGCCCTCAGCAGCAGAGACAGTGAACCCCACCTTGCCCAGCTTTTTCCCTAATAAGTCATTGTGGCTTTGAGAGGACCCTGTCTGAACTAAATGAGGCAATCACTTTATTTAGCAAATAAAATATTTTGCCACTACCATGCGTTCCTCATTGCAAGCAAGCAGTCTGTTTCTTTCCTAAAGTGGTGGATAGGAATATAAGACACCTTTTTGTTGTAGCAGCACTGTTAAGCCACTGAATCATTTGTTGCCTGCCCTACATCGTGGGAAGGAGCTGAGCCAGGAAAGCATAATGTTCTTCTGGGTGCTAATTCGAACTCTTAATCAAGATCTGATTACCAAAAAGGAAGACAGAGCATAAAAACGCTATGAAGATTGAATTTTTTTTTTATCTTGACCATAACTCACCCCACAAATGTGTCCATTATGACATTCACTCTAGCGGGAAAATTGTGATGTTGTTGCAAGATTCCCTACAGCAGAACTGCTGCCAATGATGATGAATAATCTTGGTCCATATGCTACCTCTATACATCTCTACAGCACCAGCCTGCTCTCACCCTCTTTCTGCTTCCTCAAAAACAGTAAAAGTTAATTAAAAATAGTTAATAGGTTAATCAGACTTGGTCTTATATTTATCTAATGCAGAGCACTGATTCTTTAGTGATGTATCCTGAGGCATTACCTCGAGCCAAGAAAATGAATCAGACATTTAATGGAGATGTGGAAACGGAAATTTCTTGTAAGACTACAAAATCGGACGCCAATAATACACTAAAATATAATAAATTTATCATTAAAATTCAACGCATGAAATCCCATCCTGTGTCCTCTTGCTAGGCGATAAACTGAGACGAAGCTGGCCAGAAAAATTTTCAGGAGACGGGCCCTTGGGTACATCTCACCTGCTTTTTAGCATTCTTGTTCCAGCGCGTCTGCCCGCAGACCTCTGGTGACAGCTTAGGTCAGGGGCGTCACTTCGCGGGCGATCCCACTGCGGATTCCCTGGGTTGCTCTTCAGAGTGCCAAGGACCATGAAACGCTGCCATCTCTCTCTGGGGGTGTGCTGGAGTCGGCCAGGACCGGCAGCGCTCTGCGTTACTTACTCGTTGTGACCGCGCAGGAATGGTTTGTGCGGGGAGCATCTTTCCCTCTCCGGCCGGTGGCGGATGCTGCGGGCTCTGCCTTCCCCGGAGCTTCCAGTCGCTTCCGAGGACGCGCTGGTGGAATTTCTCTTTGCATTTACACCGAAGCGCATCCAGAGTAACTGGGAGCGGAGGCTGAATGGGAACAGGACACGGTCATTGCCTTTTTAAAACAGCTGCAAAGAGGAAGTGTTGCAGGCTGCAGCCTGCACTCACCTCTGTTGCCACTTCAATATTTCTTTTGTTTTTCTTAAGTGAAATGCTCAAGCATTTTCCGTATCCTCGGGAAAGCAAAATATTTTTCTCGTTTCTGGAACATTGAGAATATTTGCTGCTGAAGCGGAGTAGTTACTTTTACTTTTGATTTGTGATCGTTGGTTCAGCCTGACCCCTGCTGGGGGAAGCAAGGAGGAGAGAATCACAAGTTCAGAGCGTCTGTTCAGAATCCACAGGTTCACCGGAGACCATTCCTGGCACAGTCCTGCTCCGAGCCCCATTCCCACGCCAGGCCCATGCCCTGCTCAGGTTCTGCCCACACTGCACGCTTCCTTCTGGGCAGTACAAGCCTTACCTGAAGTTTGTCCGTCTTCCACCTCCAGAACCTGCCACCACCTCCGCTACAGTGCATTGTAGAAACACCACATACTGATTTAGTATGGCCACAGGAGTCTGCTGCAGGTGCACCCAGCTCCCTGCTGGCATCCTAGCCCAAAGCCCTGCTAGCAACAGCTCTGTGGCATTACTGGTTACCAGCCCTCTGTCTATCCTAATTAGTGCACAACAGATTTCTCAACAATCCCATATTTGTGTATTCCCGTGTGGGGCTACTAAATACTGCAGCCAGCACAGATGTGCCAGTGATGTGACCTGGCACTCAGACAAGGCATTTCACTCTAACCTGCTAAGGACTGAAGTCCTTGTGGTAGGGATGGCCCACCTCTTAGTCTGGGAGCAGCAGCAATGGGACTGCTGCCACCTCTTCACACCTCAGTCTGTGGTGTGATGGCTGGTGAGAGGCCTCCTTCATTTCCAGGTGAGAATTCTGTCGGGACTGGATGCATGTACCTGATCAGCCCCAGGCAAGGAAGCTATTTTGGAAACCTGCTGTTAACAGTGATGCCAAAGGGTACCTGCTGCAGGCCAGGTGTGCAACAGCAGGGACATCTCCTTCATTCATCTTTGCCTAAGGGCTGTGAAGGTGCCACTCTTTCAAAGTTACCTTCCTTTTCCCTTCCGTTGAACATTGCTGCACAGAAACTTCCCACTCTGCAGTGTGTGTGTGCATATGAGATGTGGATAAATACGTCAGTTTAAGTCCAACAGAAGTTCACCCGTCATCCCCCAGCCCTGGCTGACTCGCTGAGCCTCCCGAGCACCTGCAGGGCAGTGAGTTCCCCCACAGGTGTTGGATATGGATCCAGGCACTGCCCTGGCATCCACGTGAGGGATTTCTTGATGTGGATAACCACATCTATTGTATGGCTAAAACTAATGTCCAGCTTTTCTTTGCTTCCACATTAGCAGCAAAAATGTATGGAAATTTAATTGGCAAAGCTGGAGCTTTTATGCAGTTCCTTTCACTCTGTGAGACAAATATATGTACACTAGGCCATCGCTGCTATTGATCTTTAAGCAGCCCCACCGTGGAAATCAGCAGCGAGAGCTTTGCTTAGGAATTGTTGGCACAGGGTAACCCAGCATCAGGGAACTGAAAATCGTTAAATTGATGATCTAAATGGGGTTAGGAGGGGGAAAGCAGTGGCGATGGCTATCATTATGTGCATAATTTTATGTTTTTTAGAAAATAATATTTCAGCATTTTCCATCACATCAAAGACTGACAGGACCGCATTGATTAGCAGATTCAGTCCAAATGATGGACAAAACCACTGATAGCGGTATACCTCGTACCACGGCTTCGTTTGAGAAAAGAACTGCTTTCTCCGTTTCAGTTTCGGTGTAACCAAAACGAGCCGAGGCATACGGGCGGTGTCAGGAGCCCCGGGAGCTCGGGGAGCAGGGCTGGGATCCCGGCGCTGGCTCCCGGCGCTGCCGCGCTCGCTCCGGCAGCTCCACCTAGCGAGGCGCGCCCGCCGGCCGCTGGAAACCGCAGGAAGGCACAAATCTGTCTGTGCAGCCGGGAAGGAGAGTGTGGCTCTGCCTGCCCCATGCCAGTGGAGGCTTGTGGTGCAGTAATGGAAGGGGCCAGAGCGTGTCCCTGGGTGGGTCAGGGTTGGAGCTTCCACTGGTGCTTTTGGTGCGCACAATTCCTGCCTTTGGGGCTTCCCGGAGCAGAACAGCCTGGCAGCACGCTGAGCAGCAGGGAAGAGTTCCATCCCTCCCTCTCTCCAAGGTGCGGTGCCATCCAGCCCTGCAAACTCCAGCTGACTGGTCCAAACAACAGCATGGGGGTTTGTTAAGGGGAATTGTGAGTGCTATGCCCAGAGACTGAGGGGTGTGGTGGCTTCTGTGGGGCTCCACCCCGTTCTCTGGCAGAGAAGGTGAAATGCTACAGGCGACAGGGGCAGCACGCTCATAGCTGGATGTGGGTCTCAGATTCAGTCAAAGAAAGAAACTGAGAGTTTCTATCCAGGCAAAAGCCTGGGAAAGAGCTAGGAAAAAATGTAAATAATTCTTTATCTCTCTTGTTTTTCACATTGTTTATAGTTAAGTTCTATCACTGTGCATCAAGCACTCTGCACCAATGGTATACGTTGTTTTCACTTCAGAACCAATGGATTTGATCCTTGCAAAGCTCTGTATAAAAGAGCAGTGTATTCTGAATAAACCGGAGTTTTACTCTCAGCAGCCTTCTGAGTCAGTCTTCTCATTCCCGTCCTGCCTCGACAGCGACAGCTGGAGATGACCCTGTGCAGGGAAGCGCAAGATGGCTGGACCTGCTCCCCAGAGGTGTGAGGGAGCTGCTGAGGAAGCAGGAAAACCGCTGGTCAGATTTTTTTCTGTAAGAACCTGAATCCTTAGGGCAACTGTTCTGTGTTTTAGGGAGGTTTTACCCCCTGCTCTTCCCTCTGTAGTGAAGGATCAGAAATGTAGACCACTAAAATGCCTGCATGCAGAAGGGGCAGTTTCCCACTGTGAGAGTTTGAATCCCATTTCTTGCCTCAGTTTGCAGTGGCAATGCCAAGAATTCCTGGGATAAAGCATACTGCTGTTTCTTGTCCATCAGAGGAAACTCTCATTTTCCTACATGTTTCTCAGTCCTCTCTATCAGCTCCTGTTCTGATTACATTCACACTTTCCTTTTCATCTCTCACAACCAGTGATGTCACGTCACGTTGTGCAGCTTGCATGAACCTCTAGTGGCACTGGGACAGCAGGGAATTCTTGGCTGTAATAAGATACCCAGGTAATTTCTTCCAGTACTATCTTTGGCTAGGTGTCATGAAGGCACGAAGGATGCTGTTCAGAAAGCACCATGCTAGTACAGCAGCTGGCTAAAACTGAGTCTTCTTGTGCTGGCAAACAAGGAATTTCTTTAGTTCGCAATTACAGACTTTCTCTTGTTTTGGCTTTACACTGCAGGCTTTAGGTAATTTGCTGTCACAACAATAGAAGCAGTAGAAAGTCACTTGCTATGGTTGCTTTCCATTCCCATTTTGAGTCCTGCTCTTCTGGCAGTAGCTCACTGAGGACCAGCCAGTTTGGTCACAGCCCTCAAAAGAGCTAAATATGCTGAAAAGTGTAACTGATTTCTCTTTAGAGCAACTAGTACCCATTACTCCTGGTGTTACAGACCCCTCCTTCATTGTGATCGAGGCAGGCAGCCACCTGGGGGGCTTGGGAAACAGGCAACACAGATGGAGTCCGGATGCCTTTGCCCATTTAGCACAACAGAGCAAATATCTAGAAAAAGCTTTCCAGGATCAAGTGCTTTCCTGATAAATCTGGCATTTTTGGGTAAGATAAAGAGGAATAAGAAGAACTTCCTGGGAGCTGCTTCTGCATGTGAGTGTGACTTAGGAACAAGAAAAGTGAGATCAGGAATGGGAGTGCTGTGGCATATATTCAAAATTACTGGTCAAGATTTATTGAGGAGCTTTCAACCACAAACCTGGAAACACAGAGAAAAAAAGAGAACAGGCCACGAGTCTCTGTCTTTTGAAGCTCACTTTGTCTTGACTCTTCAGGTATGGGGAAGATGCTTCTCACAACATGTGTGCCCCTAGTAAAAACCTCAGGATCTTGTGTTACATAGTTCCAGTCCACCGGGTTTGGAGAAAGATGGAAAAGATGTATAACCAGCTGGTAATTTCTAGGGTATTTTTACAGCTATACCACTGGAAGGTAACTTTCAAAGAATGAGCCTGAGTGAATATGGAGGAACACCTTTGTAAAGTCCAAGATGTACTTCAGTCTGAAGACTACCACAGCAAAGTGGCAGCAAACCAAGACTTTATAGGGCAACCTTTGCAGATCGTGACTGCAATACTTGGCTTAATTGCATACTGTCGGTTGCTCACCACTTATAAAATACACTCTGAGTGGGCCATAATGCTCCTCCTGTCCCTTGAGATAAGATAGTTAGATGGTATTCCTGGCAAAACAGAGTGATATTTCATAAACTGCTAAAAAATCAATGGTGATATGCCTGATCATACCTTAGATGAACTTTTCTCATGAACTGAAATGTAATAGAGTGGGTAATACTGGAGTTCAATTAAATGAAATTATATAAAACTTATTGAAAGCAACACAAAGAGGAGGGGAGCAAATCCAGTGACAGAGAGCAGAGACAAGTGCTCCATGCACCACAAATCCAGTAAACAATAAATACTTCCTGTGGAAGTTATTCTGAACTGATATTGGGAGATATTGCTGAAACTGTCAAAGAGCTTTCGCCTTGGCCTGAGATGGCAAAATTCCCACAGATGGGACCAGGGCTCAGCCTATCTGGCCTGTGGGGGAGCACGTGAGTGTTGCCAGATGATAAAATGGGGATTACTCATAGTGTGATAGGAAAGCCCATTCCCTGAGAATCTGTCCATCAGAGAGCATTGTGGTCTGCCCAGTTACATAGGAAGAACCAGCGTGACCTGGGATTGAAGTTTGGGCACAAACATGGCTGCC